TGTTGGCAAGGTTGCAGAGAAGAGAGAACACTTATACACTGATGGGAGGAAGGTAAATTGGTTCAGCCATTGTGGAAAGCAGTGTGGCAATTCCTCAGAGAACTGAAAACAGAATTACCATTCAACCCAGCCTCATTGTTGGGTATATACCCAGAGGAATATAAATCATCCTACCATAAAAATACATGCACACGTATGTTCATCACAGCACTATTCACAACAGCAAAGACATGGAATCAACGTAAATACCCAACAACAGTAATAGACTGGATAAAGAAAATATGCTACATATACTCCATGGAATACTACACAGCCATAAAAAAGAACAAAATCATGTCCCTTGCAGCAACATGGATGGAGAGGCAGGCCATTATACTAAGCAATCTAACACAGGAACAGAAAACCAAATACTGCATGTTCTCATTCCATGTGTACTCAATGTGGAAGCTAAACATTGACTACACAAGGACACAAAGAAGGGAACAACAGAAGTTGGATGGTGGGAGAAGGGAGAGGACTGAAAAACTACATATCATGTACCATGCTTATTATGTAAGTGACAAAATAATCCCTGTAATCACAATTAACATATGTAACACAATGTAATCACAATTAACAATGTAATCACAATTAACATATGTAACAATACTGCATATGTACTCCTGGACCCAAAATAGAAACTAAACACCTAAATCTTAAAATGTTACAGTTGAACAAAACTGCATTCAAAAAAAAAAAAAAAGTTTTTATCCTATTGCTGTTACTACATATCTATGTGATCTTAGACATTAATGTATCTGTGTTCTTACCCTCTGTTCTAGTTGTTGTGTACCCTACAACAAATCAAAAAATGGATGATCAAATATGGTAATATACATATGAGAGAATATTATTCAGCCTTAAAAAGGAAATTCTGACATATGCTATAACATATATCAATCTTGAAGATATTATGCTAAATGAAATAAGCAAGTCACAAAAATACAAATACTGCAAGATCCCACTTATATGAGAAAGCATAGTCAAAATTTTGGAGCTGGAAAGAATAGCGGTTGCTAGGACCTGGGAGAAGGGGAGGGGTATTATTTAATGGATAGTTTCATTTTTGCAAGATTAAAAGAATTATGGCAATGGATAGTGATGATGATTGCATATTATGAATGTATTTGATATCACTGAACATCTCTTAAAAACTGTTTTAAGATGAGATGGGCACGGTAGCTCTCACCGGCAACCCAGCACTTTGGGAGACTGAGGTAGGCACATAGCTTGAGCCCAGGAGTTCAACACTAGCCTGGACAACGTGGCAAACTCTACTAAAAAATACAAATTAGCCAGGCATGGTGGTATATGCCTGTAGTCCCAGCTACTCAGGAGGCTGAGGTAGGAGGATCACTTTAGCCCAGCAGGTTGAGGCTGCAGTGAGCTGTGATTCCACCACTGCATTCCAGCCCAGGTGAGAGACCCTGTCTCAAAAAAAAAAAAAAAGTTAAGATGGTAATTTTTATGTAGTATGTATTGTACCACAAGAAAAAGTATTTTTTTAAAGAAATAACTGGCCGTGCCCAATGGCTCATGCCTATAATCCCAGCACTTTAGGAGGCTGAGGCGGGTGGATCATCTGAAGTCAGGAATTGAAGACCAGCCTGGCCAACATGGGAAACCCTGTTTCTACTAAAAATACAAAAATTAGCTGTGCATAGTGGTGGGTGCCTGTAATCCCAGCTACTCAGAGAATCACTTGAACCTGGGAGGCAGAGGCTGCAGTGAGCCAAGATCCTGCCATTGCACTCCAGCCCACACAACAAGAGCAAAACTCTATCAAAAAAAAATTAATAACTGGAAGTACTCTGGATGCCCTAAGTTACATGCATCCCAAAAGGTTAGAGATAAACCACAAAAATTCAGAGGACAACCACATTGGTAAAGTTATGAGGGGTTCACTGGTCTGGAGCATGCTAGGACTGCCCCTCACTAATGGATAAATTATTTCACCTTGATCTTCCTACCATTAAAAAGAGATACAGCACTTTATAGGCTTCTGGATTTTAGCAACACAAATTGTAGACAGGAAAACTCCTTTGACCCATTTCTTATGTGGCTTAGATTTTAATGGGGCCCAGAGTGAGGGCCTTTGGGAGCAAGTTCAGGCTTATAGTACAAATAACTTGACATTTAGGCCATAGGACCTGGCAAATCCCATGATGCCAGAGACATTCCAGGTAGACAAGGATGCTACATAGAGTCTCTGGCAAGCCCTGGTTGCATAAGTTGTAACACAGACCTTCAGGTTTCTGGAGTTAAGTCAGTCTTTCCATAGCAGATAACTAGTCACTATTTAAAGAGTAGCTCCTCACATCAGAGCACATCAAATATGTGACCAGAGCTATCCATCACAAGCTGGGTATTGTCAGATCCACCAAACCCTAAGAATAGACCAGCATAGTAATAACTCATGGTACATTCAGGATGGTGCCCAAGCAGTTCCCAGGGCTCCAACTTTCAGGAAAAGGTGGCCCATGTAACTTACCTCCAAGACACCAGCACCTTTCCCTCAGCTCATGGCTTCGTTGGGGTTCACCACTACAATTAGGTGACACAGGAGGAAAAAACCCCGGGCTTGATTCACAGATAAATCAGCTTGGTATTTTACTGTAAACCAAAGACTGACTCCTGCCATATTAGCCTGAGTAGACTTGAAAAGCGCAGATAAGGAAAAAGCTCCCTAGAGGCCTGAGCTTCAAGCAATAAACCTGGTCAGCACTTTGCTCATGATGTAACATAAAATTACATGCTCACCAGACTGTATGTCATCTTTCTAGGCATTTAGCTTGCTGAAGGTGCATTTTCTAGTCTATTCCTCAGGACACACTCAAGGGAAACACGGTCCCTGAATTCTTGCACGTTGATAGTGTCTGAGGAGCTATTTTTATACTTAATCAGTTTTGGTAGATACAAAATCTTTCACTCACATTTTCTTTCTACAGATACCTTAAAGGGGCTATTCTTCTTCCTCCTGACATAGTGCTGCTGTTTTAACTCTTGCTCTTGTAAGTCAGTTGCTGTTTTTGTCTAGTCAAACCCAGTTTGTATATTGCCATTGGTTGTTCTGGTATAATCTCAGGTAGGCAGGGTTTTTTTCAAAGTAGTCATTTGATTTTGTTCTGTATGTTGCATTTTTTCTTTTCTGTCTCTAAAGTTTGTCATATCCCTACTAATCCTTTTTATCTCTTTTCTTTCTGATTTCTAAAAGTCCTCCATTTTTATTTTTCATTTCTCTTACGGTATTATCTGTTGTTCATCAGCTGTCATTTATTCTAGTCTTAATTTATGGTGACTTTTTCCTCTATTACTACTATTTCCCCAAGTTCTTCAATTTTATTTTTGTTTTCTCATATCTTGTATCATTTTCTAAACATCTTAAAACTCAATTTTAAGTATACTCTATAGCTTTTATTCATTTTATGGGCATGCCTTTCTGGTGTGCTTTCAATGTCTACAGGGATGTTATTTTTTTCCTTATACTCTTTAACAACCTTGCATTGACTATAGTTTCATATCATTTATTTTTGTTTGAAGTCAGCTTCTCTGAGGTTTTAAAAGGAGGCTTAGTTCAGGGTAACTTTCCTAACATCACAGATATTCCACTTTCGTTGTTTTTATATAGTGTTCAAAAATAAGACAGCTTGCTTTCTGAAATTTTCCTGGATCTTTTAAACTAAATGATAGATACAAAGATGGGTAGGATATGATACTGGGAGAAATAACAAAATATAGCAAACAAGTATTTTTGGCCCAAAAGCAAACTTCACACTCCATGAAGGCCTATGCAAATAAATAAAACACTCCCTTCAATAAACAACCCTTTTAATAAAATGTGTATTAATTCAAATACAAATGCAGAACGTGTAAAATGGAATTTAGTAGCCAGTTCTAAATTGAATAATTGAGTTCTGCACATAATGAAATAGGATATAAATATAATCCTAAATTGGAAGAAAAAGACTTCAATGTAAAAGTTTTCAGATGAAAATATACTCTATAAATGCATTTTCATTCATGCCAGTACATTCCTCAGTATTACTTAGTAATACTTCCCAGTACTTTGGGAGGTCATGGCAGGCGGATCACTTGAGTTCAGGAGTTCCATATCAACCTGGTCAACATGGCGAAATCCCGTCTCTACTAAAAATACAAAAATTAGCCAGGCATGGTGGCGCACGCCTGTAGTCCCAACTAATTGGGAAGCTGAGGCACAAAAATCACTTGAGCCCAGGAGGTAGAGGCTTCAGTAAGCCAAGACTGCACCACTGCACTCCAGTCTGGGTAATAGAACAAGACTCTATCTAAAAAAAAAGATACTAATTATGTCCAGTGGGATACTGACATTGTAATTCCACGTAGAAATATTTTTTGATATATCCTCAAGTATTTAGAGTAAAGTGACATCTTATCTGAGATGTGCTTTAAACAAAATAAAAGGAGAAGAAAAGAAACAAGTATGGCAAAATTTAACGGTAATTAAAGCTGGTATATAGTGGTTCATAACATATTTTCTCTTTCAAAGAGTACTTAAAGCTTTTTATAATAAACTGCACTTTCAAAAAATGTTCAATACATATTGATATCATTTGGATATCTGTCCCCACCAAATCTCATGTTGAAATATGATCCCCGATGTTGGAAGTGGGGACTAGGGTGAGACGTTTAGATCATGGGGGCAGATGCCTCATGAATGGCGTGCTGCCCTCCCTGCAGTAATGAGTTCATGTGTGATCTGGTTATTGAAAAGTGTCCAGAACCTCCTTCTTCCTGCTCTCTTCCTCTCTTTCACCATGTGATATGCTCACTGTCCTTCAGTTTCCTCCATGAGTAAAGCATCACGCTTCTTGTACAGCTACAAGTCAAATAAACCCTGAGCCAAATAAACCTCTGTTATTTTTAATAAATTACCCAGCCTCAGGTATTCCTTTATAGCAATGCAAACAGACTAACACACATATCATTGACAAGGTTTATTATCAAGAAACTTTAGTAGTAAGTTTTTAAAAAGAATGCTCGTTTTAGAATACATCAAGAGGACATTCTGTGACAGGACATATACAAACAAGGATAATTAAAATATTAAATACTATCTAAATTAAAAGACCATAATTCAAATTGCTAATTATAATCTTTGTGTCAGTAGAAATAACTACAGTTCCCCTTCATGAAATTCACCCCCACGTTCTCATGAAGACTAAGAAGTCTCACCACAATTTCAGTTATTTAATTTACAATAATCAATGCTGAGTTTTCGGTGCTGAAGCATGCACTGTTACAGAAAGCACAAAATCCTATTCACAGGGATTTTTAGTTTTCTTTAAAATGTATCTCAAGCATCTTTTAAAGTGCGAGCTACAAAAAGGCTGTATCCTTAATGAAAAAGGCTTCTTTCTAAAAGAAGTATGAGACAGCTATCCAATATTGCAGGAACGGTTATATAACTAACCGAAGGAACCAGCAGCACTCTGCTAACTCGGTTTTAGTGTAGCAACCTCCTCCTTGGTCTTCTACTACCAGCCAAACATGTACTCCATTGCTTTGGATACAAGACTTTCATCTTTTTTTGGCGTTTGTCTGTCAGAAATAACCTATTAAAAACACATACACACACAAAGCTGTTAGGTTATTGTTACTTCAGTGTCATAGTCAATTCTAGAATTGCTCATTTAAAAGAGAAACACCAAAATGCATGTATAGCACTGAATTGTATATTTTTAAAATTAATACATGGACTTAGAATATCCTTATGCTTTTAAGAATGCCAAAAATTTCATTTCTTTGGAAAAGCAAATAATATCTGTTTCTTAAATTAGAAAATTTAATAGCTGCGTGCAGTGGCTCATGTCTGTAATCCCAGCACTTTGGGAGGTCAAGGTGGGCAGATCACTCGAGGTCAGGAGTTCGAGACCACTATGGCCAACATGGCCCCATCTCTACTAAAAATACAAAAAATTAGCTGGGCATAGTGGCACGTGCCTGTAATCTACTCAGGAGGCTGAGGTAGAAGAATCAACTGAACCCAGGAGGCAGAGGTTAAAGTGAGCTGGGATCGCACCACTGCACTCCAGCCTGGGCAACAGAGTGAGATTCCATCTCAAAACAAAAGAAAGAAAACTGAATAAAACAAAAGCTGCAAAAAATGGGAAATTTAAAATAACAGTAACAGAAACTAAAGAAACAGTTCTAGAATGATCTCCAAATTTCAGAGGAAGTCAAAAAACTGAACTACCACTATCTGCCCTACTAAAGCACAAGTGTTTCACGTACTGTGTTTGCAGGACCTGTTTCTGCAGCTGGTTAAGTTCAAACACTTGGCTACTCAGTAGGAGACAATAATATACTGAATGAGGTCATAATACTTCTACCATTCTTCGAAGAACATAATTAACTTTTTTAAGCTTTTTTGAAATGAGAAATTTTTTTCTGTCTGAATGGGAGTTGGTCAATGTCTTCATTTCAATAACCAAAGCTACTCCAACCTAAGGTTCTGCACTTTGGATACCATCAATTTAGTCACCAATTTAATAGAGCTTTAATGCGCCCTCATGTCAAAGATATACATGGGATACATTTTGTATGTATGCAAATATAACTTAGAAAAAGCTAAAACAACTCTCAAAAAATTTTAAGGAATGGCAAATAAATTGTTCTTTAATTCATGATAACTTTCCAATTGGCCAAGATGCTAACTTTAAAAAAGAAAATTTTTAAAGTGTAAAGGTTTCATCAAGGTAATAGCCTCATCAAGAAACATTTAATAGCATACAAATCAATACAATGAAAAAGTTAAACATGCTATGCACTCAGCCGCTAAGGTACATCTTTTTTTAATCTAATCCTTAAAATACCTGATAATCACTAGTAGAGGCTTTGTATGCTGTAGCAAGAGGTCTCATGGTAGAAATCCTAGGAGTACTTCCAGGTTGTGTTGGGGTACCTAGAGTTTTGATTGGTGGTGTAAAGGCTAAAGATGGAGATGATAAAGCACATCTGTCACTGCTTTCCATAACACTCTAGAGAAACAAAGAAACAACTCCTTTGTTTATAAAAGTAATACATATCATCCAGTAACAGTCTACTTAGAAAGAAAATTTAATTAAAAGATAAGGATGAAATACTTTATTTGCTCTACTTCCAAATAATTTTAAGCTTGAGAAAACATTTGCTCCTTAGGTAGCATTTGAGATTGAATGCTCAGCCAGAAATCTCACTTCAGTGACCTCAAACAATCTCAATACAACTATAGACCACAGAAATAAGAATTTCCTAAAACACTATGAAAAATCATCAAGGACAAAAAAAGTTCTTAGGGAAACCTGGAAAAGAATCAAAATCCAAAGATTTTTAATGCTCAGTAACCCCAAATATTCTCTGGCCTCTGCAAACATTTGTTACAACACAGTATTATAACTATATAACTACACTGCTATAACAGATTCTAAGAATAGGAACCACGTCTTGCTTTGTTCATTAATGCGTGTATACTGGCACCAAGCACAATGCCTGGTATGTAGTACAAGTTCACATATACTTAAAGAATGTTCACAATGATTTAACAAGCCACAAAAAACAGTTTAAATTGTACTCTGTACTATTTAATGAGTATATATAGAATAATTTTAAAATAGTTTGAAATAGAAATATTTTGAAACAAAAACCTTTGGCATTTAAAAGTTAACTATCAGTTAACATTCATATGAACTAATTCATTCTGAAATAGTATCATTCCATTTAAGTACTTTAAAGAAACTGGTATCGCTTTGCACAAGAAAGAGAATGAATTAGTAGTCAAGAGACCTAAAATCTAGGCCTCATCTGTAACAACTCTGGACAAGTTACTTAAGTCCTCTCGGTTTCTTTCCTTTATCTGAAAAATGAAGAAGTGAGGACAGATTATCTCTAAATTCTAAAGTCTATGATTAAATACCTTCGGCTTACCACAAAGAGTACTGTAAGTATCATCACATGTTACAAACTACGAAAAAGAGACACAGTGAAACCAAGTGACACAACCACCAATTTCAATCCTTGGTCTTGTGTTCTTCATACAGATTAAGCTACTTTCCTTACATCACCAATAACTTACTTTGTCAATACATGGTTTTACACCAATCATGATGGATTCTCCAAAAATCCTCCCATCTTTGCTTAAGGCTTTCCGAGCCTGCAGTTTAGATTGGTAACGAATATGCATCCAATTTCCTGTATTAGACATCTGCAAAGAATGAAATTCTCTTAAAATAGAAAATATATAAAATCTACATCTAATGAATTCTACTACAAAATAGAAACGTGAAGATAAATTTACTTCCATTTCATATTTGATGCCTTGTAAAAAGCTGTGAAGTTCAACAAAAATCATATTTAAAACAGCTTCAACAATCTCTCAATTCTCTACAATCAATATGTACATATTCTCTGAAAGTAAAATACTTCTCAAAATATGTTTATTGTAAAGAGATCATAGCAACACTTGCCATAAAATTATTTAAAACTACTCAATTTGATTTTGTATAGGAGTTAATTAAGTCAATCTCTAGTAACAAAAAAAGATTTGTTACTTATAACTTGTAGCACAAGGTAAGATAATTTTTTAAATTTTAGAACTATAAAGCTCTAAAAACTCTAAAAGCTCAGGAACCTCCTACTTCCTTTATCCCCAATAAAAGAAGCTCAAAATTGGAAAACAGTAAGATAATACTTCGTATAATCTATCTTTTTTAAGACTGTAAACTGTTTAAGGAAGGGGGTGAGAGGAGGTGGATTTTCAAACTCATTTTATCTCTTTTTATCAAAAACTATGCAACTTCCAGCCTTCCAGACTTCAAAGGATATATGATATCAAAACTTTAAAAAAAAATTAAGTTTAAAAAAAAAAAAATCCACAAAATTCAGAAGCAAAGTTTCTCTCAATTCACAACTTACCCCTCTTTAGTCAAAACTCTGAACTGAAAAAAAATTAAGCCTTACCACATGTTTTAAGATATTCCCATACTGTGCAAATTGTAATAATATGTAGGACGCAGATGCTTGAGGAAACCTGAAAAAAACAGTTGTCCAAAGAAAACAGTCAGCTTCTATCTATCAATGTGGAATGTGAATGCAAATTACTACAGATAAGTTTCAAGATACATTCCCCCCAACTGTCTAGAACGTTAGACAGGAGAGTGCTGATCATCCTGTTTTCCTCGATATCGGGCTAATTCTGTCCAACGACCAGTTCACTCAAAAGCAAATACTCTTAAAGTTAGTCTTATTCTGCCATTCTCTCACCCTCAAATTCTACCTCTGAAATCTCTAAAAATGCTACTCTCATTGCCATTATCCAGGTCTTAGAAAAAAACTTATAAAGTTGCATGTTAATATAACTTTATTTCAATATATGTACGTTAATACTAATTACATTTAGGTATACTGAACAGTTACGAAAAGATAAAGAATTATATAGCAAATCATTATACATTGGAGCATCACTTAAAAAATCTGAAATTAGTCTTATAACAAAGATAAAATTCAGCATCAATATCTATGGTATAGAATCACTAAAAGGACAGTTTACCAAAATTTGATTAGCCATACTCTGCATGAGAAAATTCTAAGTAATTTTTACTTTCTTCTTTATAAAGTTTCTGTATGGTTTGAATATTTTACAATGACACATTCATTATTTATAGTCCTAACAAATAAAGCTATTTTTCAATTTGAGGAAACAAAAACCAACTACCACAGAATAGAAATTGGCTATCTGGGGCCTCTAACCTCTAACTTCAGTTATCTGAAGACTGGAAATTAGAACCCTAAAGACAAAAAAAAATCTGAATCTCAAAAATAAATCAGAAACCAAACACATTAAAAATCTATGTGAGGCCGGGCACGACGACTCACGCCTATAATACCAGCACTTTGGGAGGCCGAGGCAGGTGGATCACTTGAGGTAAGGAGTTCGAGACCAGCCTGGCCAACCTGATGAAACCCCGCTCTACTAAAAATTAGCTGGGCATGGTGGCGGCACCTGTAGTCCCAGCTACTCAGGAGGCTGAGAGCGGAGAGAATCGCTTGAACCTGGGGGGGAAAAGGGGCAGTGAGCTGAATCTGCCACTGCACTCCAGCCAGAGTGACAGAGTAAGAACCTTTTTTCAAATAAATAAATAATTTAATTAATTAAATCTGTATGAAGTAACATATCATGCAATCAGAACTGAAAATTCATTTGTATAAAAATATGGACATGAATTTCTAACCACAAAGAAAAACAACAAATATGGTGGTGCCTACAGCGGCGGAGATAAAACAAAAATGAAAAGAAGAAAGAACGGCTGAAGTGAGGCAAGTACTTAAGAAATAAAACATAATTCTAAACTCTTGGACCACTTTTGAGTAGAAACTTACATTCGAATACTCTACAGTAGAATCACCCAAAACAATGAATGATATTTCATAACCCTAAATCAGTAGGAAAAAGTTAAACTACCAAAAAGAAACATATGGTACATTCTTTCAGAGGTTACTTCCCCATAAATGCAAAATAAAATACTTTCCTTTAAAGGAGAATGCTTCAGTTCTTGAAATTAAAGTCCACCAGAGGGTTGTTAAAACCTGAAAGTAAAAAAAAATTAGCTGGGAAACATTAATATCTGAAATTTGAAAACATACTAAGAGTGTTCAAGTAATTTATCTAATACTGGAAATCTTAAAAGTTAAACCACTACTATTGAGCCTGAAAAACAGATTTAAGAGTGCGTATCTACTTTTCAAAAACATGCAGCCAAGCTGGCTCATTACTGTTAATCCCAACTACCATAAGGCTGAGGCAGAAGGATTGCTTGAGGCCAGGAATTGGAGCTGCAGTGAGCTATGATCAAGCCACTGCACTCCAGCCTAGATGACAGAGACTGTCTCAAAAAAAAAAAATCAAAACAAACAAAACAAAGCAAAAGCCATTTATGATGAGAAATATAAAAATGTAAAAGAAGAAGAAGAAGAAAAAAAAACATGCCAGCCCATATTGCTATGGATTAGGACTGAGTATGGGCCCTTTCCTAGAGAAAAACAAGAATGCAAGTGACCCTGCTTTTTACTCTAATATGAATCAATAACCAGAAAATCTCGTCTGGATATACGTACACAAAAATATCAGGTGCAATGCATCCTGCTAAAGAGGACAGTAAACTAGCTGGGGAGAAAAGTCAAAAGGGAAGATCTCCATGTTCATTTTTCACATACCTTTGAACTTTTAATTTTAAAATAAATTGAATACGCCTAAACCATATTATTGTGCACCCTTCCTTCCTTCAAGGCTCATGGTTACTTTTTTATGTTTTTTAATCCCCCCAAAAAATATAATAGATACATTCCAGTATCAGCATGTGATACAGTTCAGCTGTGTCTCCACCCAAATCTCAACTTGAATTGCATCTCCCAGAATTCCCATGCGTTGTGAGACGGACCCAGGGGAGGTAACTGAATTGGGAGGGCCGGTCTTTCCCATACTGTTCTCATGATAGTGAGTAAGTCTCAAGATCTGATGGGTTTATCTGGGGCTTCTGTTTTTGCTTCTTCATTTTTTCTCGACATCACCATGTAAGTTGCCTCCCGCCATGATTCTGAGGCCTTCCCAGCCATGTGGAACCGTAAGTCCAATGAAACCTCTTTTTCTTCCCTGTCTCAAGTATGTCTTTATCAGCAGCATAAAAATGGACTAACACAGTAATTGCTACCAGTAGAGTAGGGCATTGCTGAAAAGATACCCAAAAATGTGAAGCGACGTTGGAACTGGGTAATAGGCAGAGGTTGGAACAGTCTGGAGAGCTCAGAAGAAGACAGGAAAATGTGGGAAGTTTGGAACCTCCTAGAGACTTGTTGAACAGCTTTTACAAAAATGCTGATATTGATATGAACAATAAGGTCCATGCTGAGGTGGTCTCAGATGGAGATGAGGAACTTGTTGGGGACTGGAGCAAAGGTGACTCTTGCTATGTTTTAGCAAAGAGACTGATGGCATTTTGCCCCTGCCCTAGAGATTTGTGGAGCTTTGAACTTGAGAGAGATGATTTAAGGTATCTGGCGGAAGAAATTTCTAAGCAGCAAAGCATTCAAAAGGTGATTTGGGTGCTATTAAAAGCATTCCATTTTAAAGGGGAAACAGCATAAAAGTTCAGAAAATTTGCAGCCCGACAAGGCAGGAGAAAAGGAAAACTCATTTTCTGAGAAGAAATTCAAGCCAGCTGTAGAAATCTGCATAAGTATAAAGAAGCCTAATGTTAAGGCCCAAGAGCATGGGGAAAATGTCTCTAGGGCATGTCAGAGCCCTTCAAGACAGCTAATCCCATCACAGGCCTGGAGGCCCAGGAGGAAAAAGCGGTTTCGTGGTCCGGGCCCAGGATCCCTGTGCTGTGTGCAGCCTAGGGACTTGGTGCCCTGTGTCCCAGCCTCTCCAGCCATGGCTGAAAGGGGCCAATGTAGAGCCTGGGCTGTGGCTTCAGAGGGTGGAAGCCCTAAACCTTGGCAGCTTCCACATGGTGTTGAGTCTGTGGGTGCACAGAATCAAGAATTGAGGTTTGGGAACCTTCACCTAGATTTCAGAAGATGTATGGAAATACCTGGATGCCCAGGCAAAACTGTGCTGCAGGGGTGGGGCCCTCATGGAGAACCTCTGCTAGGGCAGCGTGGAAGGGAATTGTGGGGTCAAAGCTCCCACACAAGGTCCCTACTGGGGCACTGCCTAGTGGGGCTGTGAGAAAAGGGCCACCATCCTCCAGACCCCAGAATGGTAGATCCACTGACAGTTTGCACTGTGTGCCTGGAAAACCCACACACTCAGTGCCAGCATGGGAAAGCAGCCGGGAGGGAGCCTGTACCCTGCAAAGTCATAGGGGTGGAGCTGCCTAAGACCATGGAAACCCACCTCTTGCATCAGGCGTGACCTGGATGTGAGACCAGGAAGTCAAAGGAGATCATTTTGGAGCTTTAAAATTTGACTGCCCCGCTGGACTTTTAACTTGCATGGGGCCTACAACCCCTTTGTTTTGGCCAATTTCTCCCATTTGGAATGGCTGTATTTACCCAATTCCTATACTCCCATTGTATCCAGGAAGTAACCAGCTTGCTTTTGATTTTACAGGCTCATAGGTGGAAGGGACTTGCCTTAGCTCAGATGAGACTTGGGACTGTGGACTTTTGGGTTAATGCTGAAATGAGTTAAGACTTTGGGGGATGTATCGGGAAGCCATGATTGGTTTTGAAATGTGAGGACATGAGATTTAGAGGGGCCAGGGATGAAATGAAATGGTTTGGCTGTGTCTCCACCCAAATCTCAACTCAAATTATATCTCCCAGAATTCCCATGTATTGTGGGAGGAATCCAGGGAGAGGTAATTGATTCATGGGGGCCAATCTTTCCTGTGCTATTCTCATGATAGTGAATAATTCTCACAAGATCTGATGGGTTTAGCAGGTGCTTCCGCTTTTGCTTCTTCCTCATTTTCTCTTGACACCGCCATGTAAGAATGTCTTTCACCTCCCACCATGATTCTGAGGACTCTCCAGCCACGGAAACATAAGTCCAATTAAACCTCTTTTTCTTTCCAGTCTGGGGTATGTCTTTATCAGCATGAAAATGGACTAATACAGTATGGCAAATCATACTTTCAGAAACAAACCTTATATTGTACAGTATAAATATTAGCTTGAATATCAAAAGACCTAAGTTTTTGCTGGAGCTTTGCTAATAATAACTAGATATAAACTGCTGAATAAATCACTTAAGCTGCCTACATCTCAGTTTCCTCACCTGTAAAATAAAACATTATACAATATGATCTCTAAGGTGTTTTACAGTGATATACATACACACACACACACACACACACACACACACACACACAATGGAATACTACTTAGCCATAAAAAGGAATTAATTAATGGCATTTGCAGCAACCTGGATGGAACTGGAGACTATTATTCTAAGTGAAGTAACTCACTTATTCTAAGTGAAATAACTCGGGAATGGAAAAAGCAAACATCGTATGTTCTCACTCATAAGTGGGAGCTAAGCTATACGGATGCAAAGGCATAAGAATGAT